AGTTCACGAAGTAATATAATACCAATATTACTCATTTAAATATCAACGTGTGAATTTATTTAAAAGGGGCGGATTAGCGCAGCTTAATGGTCAGGATATGACATGACTAATACACAAGATAATTAAATGCTGTGCTTGCTACTGACGCAGCCTAGTAGCTCTCGTCTCTTGCCTCCTTCACTACTCCTTTAAATGTGTGTATATATATATATATATATATATATATATATATATATATATATATATATATATATATATATATATATATATATATATATATGTCGTACCTAGTAGCCAGAACGCACTTGTCAGCCTACTATGCAAGGCCCGATTTGCCTCATAAGTCAAGTTTTCATGAATTAATTGTTTTTCGACTACCTAACCTACCTAACCTAACCTAACTTTTTCGGCTACCTAACCTAACCTAACCTATAAAGATAGGTTAGGTTAGGTAGGGTTGGTTAGGTTCGGTCATATATCTACGTTAATTTTAACTCCAATAAAAAAAAATTGACCTCATACATAATGAAATGGGTAGCTTTATCATTTCATAAGAAAAAAATTAGAGGAAATATATTAATTCATGAAAATTTGGCTTATTAGGCAAATCGGGCCTTGCATAGTAGGCTGAGATGTATACCGGCAGCAAATTTTCATTTATACATGTTTCATTGATTTCTTTTTTAATATATGCAAGAGTTCTTACATTCTTGTACAGCCACTAGCACACAGCGTTTCGGACAGGTCCTTATCTTATGTTCCCTGGAATACGATCCCGTAAAATCGTTTAACAACCAAGTAATTATTTTACTGTTGGGTAAACAGAGGCTACACTTAAGGGTTGACACCCAGTAAATCCTCCCCGGCCAGGATTCGAACCCAGGACAAAGCGCTCGCGAAACGTCAGGCGAGTGTTTTACTACACCACGTCCCCTGCACAAGGGTGTATGTATTCTGTATTGCCGCCCCGCTCCTGTACCAGGTAAGTCCACTACGGGATCACCATAGCCCATGCTACTTGTCACTTTTGGTTCCCTGTAGCTGAATTTAAACCAACAAAAATAACCATGTAAGCTTAGTATAGCTGTGTTAGTGTAACAGAGTGTACTCCTGAAGATGTCACATTGCTGACGAAACGTTGAACAATCAAAATGGAAACATTAAGCGATCTAGTACTGTATTTCTTCGCCCTCCAGATGGTAGAAGATATTTGCGTAGAATGGAAAGTATTCAAAAGAAGATGACCAGACCACACACTAGAACGTGAAGGGACGACGACGTTTCGTCATTCTCAATCGACTTGAAAAAGGTCCAGGACGGACCGAAACGTCGTCGTCCCTTCACCTTCTAGTGTGTGGTCTGGTCATCATACTTTAGCCACGTTATTGTGACTCATCGCCTGCATATTCAAAAGAAGATTAATAAGTCACAATGCTGTTGTGTTTAATGGCATGTGTATTTTAGAAAACTTGCTCACAAAATATACAAATATCTACAAACAGCAAGATGTGTGTATTAATTTATTTACAAAGATCAAGCGGGTCACACATGACACACGAACCCTTGTGTGAGGCTGCAAAGGTCAGCCGTCAAGAGCCACGTGACCTCCCACACTTTATCTCGCTCACTGTAATCCCCCATCAGCTGTGTGTGTGGGGGACACCGCCCCCCTCGCTGCTTCACGCTCTACACTGCTTGCACACACACACACACACACACACACACACACACACACACACACACACACACACACACACACACACACACACACACAGACACACACATAGAGCCCAGTAGGCTCAGGAATCTGTACACCAGTTGATTGACAGTTGAGAGGTGGGACCAAAGAGCCAAAGCTCAACCCCCACAAGCACAAATAGGTGAGTACACGCACACATACACACTGAGTTAACTGCCCAAAGATGGAAGATTACAAAGCTCATTATTTTCAGCTGGGCTTCGTTTAAAAGACAGGATAATGCAACCATAATGTTATATAATTTAATGCACATGTACATATGCATTAGTCATGTCCAGTAGCAGGTGCCACGAGTGTGGTGCACGTCTGGTGTTGAGACATGTTGCCAGTGAGAGGTTCATCACACAGCGCCAGTTCAGCTCACCAAACATGACACGCTAGATGCTCAGATTTGTTGCTGAAGCTTCAGCGTTCGCCCAAGCTCGGCATCTCTGTCTTTTAAAGTCTGAGAATAGGATGAGGACGTTTCGTCCACAAGGCCTCTCTAATCATTTGCATTGCCGGATGAAATTCATTACTAGAGTTCTAGCTACTGCGGAAAATAAATTTAGAAGATTCAAAATCACTTCAAGACGATATAGAGAGGGATTTGAAATGGTCAAAAGATTGAGAGATGCAGTTTAATGCTGACAAATGTAAGGTTATGAGGCTAGGTAATGATAGAGTTACAGGATATCAGCTGTTTGGTGTTGTAATTGCGAAAAAGTTCTTGGGGTCACGATTAGAGGGAATTTAAAGCCAAAAAATCAATGCACAAATATTCGAAATAAGTCAAATATACAGGATACTGGGATTTATTTTTTGAAATGTTACTAATAAAACACCTTGTGTTATTCTTCAGTCAGATCTTGCTCTTATTAGGCCCCATTTATATTAGGCAGTTCAGTATTGGTCGTCATACAAAGGAATGGACATAAATTCACTAGAACGCATCCAGCGTGGGATGACAAAGTTAATTCCAAAATTCATTCCATATGAAGAGATTGAAAAAGATAAATCTTGAAAGGCGAACAGCTAGAGATGGCATGACTGAAATGTACAGATGAATAAATGGGCATAATAAAGGGAATATTTATACGATATTAAATATATCAACACAAAATAGAACAAGTCACAATGGATATAAATTGGATAAGTTTAGATATAGGAATGACCTGGGTAAAATCAAAGATACTTGTTTGGAAACAGGGTTGTAAATTTGCGGAACAGATTACCGGGTAACATAGACGTGAGATTCCTTGATTGTTTCAAGCGTAGCTTAAACATTTATATAAATGAGTTTTTGTGGATATAAATAGAAGTTGCCATGTATGGCCCTTCTGTAGTTTCCTTAATTCTTATAATCTAATATTCTAAGCTGGTGAACATCAGATAACATTTCAAGAACTTCAATAACGAGACATTCAGAAGAGTGAATAAACCACCTGCGTGAGACTAGCCGCAGAGAATGCAGCGCCGTCCTAGAGATTTCGCCTTAAAAAAGCGAACACAGAAACTTTAAAAGTTTCAGAGGTTTGCAAAGAGGCTCATTCCAGAATTGCAGTGGATAGTGTACGAAAGACCTCGCTCTAAAGACGCAACAAAAGATAAGAAAAAGAGGTGACGAGACCGAGATATAAAAAGTACTAAGGGAATAGATAGGGTGGAAAAAGAGGAAATATTCACAATGAATACCAACAGAAAAAGAGATCATAGGTGGAAGCTTGAGACAGATGAGCCATAGATAGAAGTAAGATTCTTACTAAGAAGTACTTAGTAAGAATATGAGACTAAATAGATGAGACGGCAGTAGCAGCCAACTCTCTCTACAATTTAAAACGTAGACATGATTAGATAAGTTTAGGTCGTAAAAAAATGCTGGGTCTAAGAGCTTTTGGGATAAGGGCCGAGAGAGTTGGTCTCCACTTCCCTGGAGACACACTCATAAATACGTACACACACAGCTACGCGCGTGCGACACACACACACACACACACACACACACACACACACACACACACACACACACACACACACACACACACACACACACACACACACACACACACCAACAAACAAGGCACTACTATGAAGCCGTCTGACTACATCAGTATATACTTCGGTAACCCAACACCCTATTACGGCAGCGCCCAGAAGCTGAAGACTGTTTCGTTGGGAGTGACGCGCTCTCATACACAGAGTTTGTTCGTTCGTTCGTTCGTTCGTTCGTTCGTTCGTTCGTTCGTTCTCTCTCTCTCTCTCTCTCTCTCTCTCTCTCTCTCTCTCTCTCTCTCTCTCTCTCTCTCTCTCTCTCTCTCTCTCTCTCTCTCTCTCTCTCTCTCTCTCTCTCTCTCTCGTAGAATGGCCACTAACTTACCTACCTTCTCCCACTCATCCACCTCAGCCTAAGCTTAGGGCTTTTCAAACTCCCAAGGCAATTCTCAGTGGATGCTTGCTTCACAGCTTCCTATCTTACCCTGCACCGCAAGGCGCGACAGTGGGTGCTTGCCGCACAGCCGCCGCGATGCACAGGACAATGTGCGTTATGGCGACCTGATTGATTGATGAAGATTAAGCCACCCAAGAGGTGGCACGGGCATGAATAGCCCGTAAGTGGTGGCCCTTTCGAGCCATTACCAGTATCAAAAGATGATACTGGAGATCTGTGGAGGCGCAACTGCACCCTGCGTGACGGGAGATGTCTCCCGGACCAAGTGGTGACCAAATGGTCGTTATGGCGACCTGACGCACAGCAAGATAAGTATTGAGCGGATGTTGGCCTCTCAGCACCAGACCTTGAGATAACTGAACAACTTCACAAGACAGTACAAGTGTTGTCACTTCCGTGTGAACATTTTATCGTGAGTTGACCAACCCAGGTGCAACCCGTCCTTGCTGTATATGTATACATCCTTCTCTGGTGTATATGTATACATCCTTCTCTGGTGTATATGTATACATCCTTCTCTGGTGTATATGTATACATCCTTCTCTGGTGTATATGTATACATTCTTCTCTGGTGTATATGTATACACCCTTCTCTGTCTAGTGTACATTTATCCATCTTTATCTGGTGTACATGTATACATCCTTCTCTATCCACCATACACGTATACATCACTATCTGACATACATGTCTACATCTCTATCTGACAAACACGTATACATCCTTCACTATTCACCAAACATATACATGTATGCATTCTTATCAACTCTTGTCGCATAATATTACCACAATAATGAATAAACTTGTAAACTAACCTTGGGAACGACCTGGTGCTTGTTAGAGGGAGATTCCAGCGGCCTCTACCCCAGGTATACTCTGATGAGTATATATATTCTGTCGTAACAAGTTGCTTAACTTGCAACTGTCATTGTGAGGTATTGTTGGTATATTGAACACCCGGAGATCAGTGGAACTCTGGTGGTCTCCGGGGAGGTTAGACGGATGTCCGTAGGGAAGGGTGTCCGTAGGGAAGGGTGTCCGTAGGGAAGGGTGTCCGTAGGGAAGGGTGTCCGTAGGGAAGGGTGTCCGTAGGGAAGGGTGTCCGTAGGGAAGGGTGTCCGTAGGGAAGGGGTGTCCGTAGGGAAGAGTGTCCGTAGGGAAGGGGTGTCCGTAGGGAAGGGTGTCCGTAGGGAAGGGGTGTCCGTAGGGAAGGGTGTCCGTAGGGAAGGGTGTCCGTAGGGAAGGGGTGTCCGTAGGGAAGGAGCGGACACAGGTGAGGGCCTCCACGAGCCACCAGTTACACTGCACTACTGGTACTGGGCCAACCTATCGCACTCTTGAGTAGATAACGGAGGCTACACTCACCTAGACCACCATTGTGGTAGTGCCCCCACTACCACCACCATCGTCACCATACTCAACACCACTACCAACAACAAGGATAGCACCAGCAGGTGTGTAACTACCACCATCAACACCAGCAGCGGGAGCAGCAACAGCAGCAGCAGTAGCCGCTTACCATTGTACACAAGTATATTATCTTGTGAGCGTCATCACGGGTGGTGGAGCGATAAGAGGCAGCTTGGCGGCACCTTCTCCCCCCCTGACACCTTCCTGGGGCCTCCAGCCCCTGACCACCTCCACCACAGCTCTTAACAACAATTACAACCTTTGCGAGCCTCGGCCGTGACTCGAGGCCCGACATTTTAGGACGCTAGGCTAAGGGTTCCGGGGTACGGGGGTTTTACTAGGCTGTGAAGGCGAGGCGATACAGTTTACCGAGATGTACTGTAAACGAGGACGCGTGGTCTGTGTAATTTAGTAAGACAAACTACTGACCAGAACAGTTTAGCATCTAGAAGTGGTTGTTAGAAACTTTAAGAAACGTCGCCCGGCTCCCCGTGTCGTGGGAAGATACGGCAACAGTTTCGTACAGTTGACCGGACTACTTTCGTACTACGACCAGGTCGTGGTCGAAACATGTTCCACAATCAACACCGGCAAAATTATTTGACCTCAACTCTCTATTAATTTATATAGATTAATGCTTTCCCTTGAGATTATAATTGAAGAAAGTGTGTTAGTACTGAGCATCTCAGCGGCCGAGGACAGGAAGCTGAGACGGGCTCCCGACACATCGTGACGGCTGTCATACTGTGTAATTAAAAACTATACTTTCTCAGATGTAAATATATTAATATAATTATATAATATTGTTTTGTATATAATTAGGCCAAAAGGTTGGTTAGGTAAAGTTTTTGGGCAGTCTGTTGGTAACTATATATATATATATATATATATATATATATATATATATATATATATATATATATATATATATATATATATATATATATATAACTGAAAACTCACACCCCAGAAGTGACTCGAACCCATACTCCCAGAAGCAACGCAACTGGTATGTACAAGACGCCTTAATCCACTTGACCATCACGACCGGACAAAATGAGGTGATAGCCTAAGCTATTTGAACCACCCCACCGCCGGCACTCGGATAGTAATCTTGGGCATAGCATTTTACCAAATCACCTCATTCTTTGGGGCACACGTGAGGAACACAAATGCGAACAAGATATACAAGTATATATATATATATACTTGTTCGCATTTGTGTTCCTATTTGAACCACCCCACCGCCGGCACTCGGATAGTAATCTTGGGCATAGCATTTTACCAAATCACCTCATTCTTTGGGGCACACGTGAGGAACACAAATGCGAACAAGATATACAAGGGGCACACGTGATATGAATGGTCCCCAGGACTATACTCGATATATATATGAGGTGATTTGTAAAATGCTATGCCCAAGATTACTATCCGAGTGCCGGCGGTGGGGTGGTTCAAATAGCTTAGGCTATCACCTCATTTTGTCCGGTCGTGATGGTCAAGTGGATTAAGGCGTCTTGTACATACCAGTTGCGTTGCTTCTGGGAGTATGGGTTCGAGTCACTTCTGGGGTGTGAGTTTTCAGTTGCATATTGTCCTGGGGACCATTCAGGCTTGTTCGCATATATATATATATATATATATATATATATATATATATATATATATATATATGTATGTATATATATATATATATATATATATATGTATATATGTATATATATATATATATATATATATATATATATATATATATATATATATATATATATATATATATATATATATATATATATATATATATATATATATATATATTAGCAATACGCGAGTGTGGCATTTAGAGATGCGAGGCTAACCCAGAAAGTCAACAAAGCATTCTTGAGAGAAATGTTGGGACGTAATAACTTTTGTCATGCGTAATGTGTTACAATAAACACACAAAACGGCTGCTGGATTAATGAACATTTGACCAATGTTTGAGGATGGTAGAAGGAAACATTGCCAGACATCCAGTCCTGCCACGACAAATGATAGAAGGCACAAGTACACAACATTTCTTGATTTAAAAAATGCTTTTGATATTGCTAATAAGGAAGTGAATCGTATGAATTAACAAGAATGGACATAAGTGGAGATTTGTTACTGTGGATACGAGGCTATCTTACCAACCAGAATCCTCAGCACTGTTCCAAGGCTACAGGAGTGAAAGTAAATTAATGCAACTAGGCACCCCATAAGGAGGAATACTAAGTCCTATCTTGTTTAAGGTTCTAATTAATGCCTTACTAAAATCAATCCTAACTAGTCCGGCAAACACCACTATCAGCTATGCAGATGACATCCTTGTACATACTAAAATACACCGCGAAATGCAAACAATCTTAAACTGTATACATACAGCTTGTGAGAGCCTTGGTCTTGTAATCAACGCTGCTAAAACTAAGGTATTTAACAGACAAATTGGTAATCGCAAAAGTGGACCACAAAAAGTATAGATAGATAACATACAAATAGCCTATGTCTCTACTTTCAAATACCTTGATGTCTCTGTCCCTTATACCTTAACTGCAGTCAATAAGTTCCATCAACAATGTAGAGACAGACTCACGGCTCTCAGAACTGTAGTGGGGTACAGCCCTAAATACGGTGTTAATATTAGAATAACAAAAATGATGTACTTAGCATATATAAGATCTCTAATAGACTATCATATACCAGCTTTAGTCCTGCAAAATGGCAAAAGTATTAATAGACTGGACAAAATGCAAAATGAATCACTCAGAATTATACTTGGCTGTCCTATAACTACCAAAGTTCTCAATATGCTGAAATAATTAAATATACCTAGCATTCAAGAGAGAATATTTGAAATCACCAACCAAGGAGGCCTGGTCAGAGACCGGGCCACGGGGGACAATAATTCCCGTAAAAAAAAAACAAATAAACAGGCAGATGAAATGGCGACGCCATTACCTCTGGCGGAAAAAAAAAACAAACATACGAGGGTATTCTGCAAGTGGGTTTCCGATAGAGATTTACTTTTGGGAATATAACAGTATAGCCAAGAGGTGGAGGATGTTAGTCAGAGCGGACATTTAGCTTAAGACGAACTTCACGTCAGCCCGAAAAGGTCAGAGTCCTGGACACATCGCGGAAAAAAAGATTAGTGATGGTGGTAGTAGTTTTAATAGGGGGTTATATGATCTTAATACAATGTGTGCGTTCAGCACAGTTGATTGTGAAGAGCAGAACTAGACGCTGGGTTCCATGAGGCTGTGACTCGCTTTACAGGCACACGCACACGCGCGTATGTGTGTGTGTGTGAACGGTCACACGCACAGCCTAACCTGTTGACTAATGCCATCACCCTGATCTATAGTATACCGTGGCTACTGTAGACCCGTGGGTATTGTAGACCCCTGGCTACTGTAGACCCGTGGGTATTGTAGACCCCTGGCTACTGTAGACCCGTGGGTATTGTAGACCCCTGGCTACTGTAGACCCGTGGGTATTGTTGACCCCTGGCTACTGTAGACCTGTGTTACTACACACCAGTGTGCGTGTGTGTGTGTTACTATTTGTGCTTTCAGGATCGAAGTGTTAGCTCTTGGACCCCGCCTTTCGTCGGTTGTCTTAAGGTCTTACCCTCCACCCATTTTCCTCTCATATTTACTACATTCACACACAACCCCTGAACGCAGCCCGTAGCAGCTGTCTAACTCCCAGGTACCTATTTACTGGTAGGTGAACACGGACATCAGGGTGAAAGAAACTCTGCCCATTTGTTTTTGTCTCGGCCGGGAATCGAATCCGGGGCCTTAGGACAACGACCCCCGAGCGCTGTCTACTGAGCCACAAGTGTTTTTTTTTATTATTATTATTATTTTCTACCACAGACGTGGCCACACCTCAGGATGAGAGCTATGCTCGTGGTGTCCCGTCTTCCCAGTACTCTTTGTCATATGACGCTTTGAAACTACTGACGGGATTGGCCTCCACCACCTTCTCACTTAGCTTGTTCCAACCGTCTACCACTCTTTGCAAAAATGAACTTTTCTAATGTTCGTTTCGGCAGCTTTATTTCCTTAGTTTGACCCCTATGTCCTTTTGGTCTTGAAGTAGCTGGTTTCAAGAATTCTTGTTTGTCAATTCTGCCGATTCTTCCTACTATTTTGTATGTCGTGATCATATTGCCTCTTTTTACTCTAGAAAGCAGTAGGAAGAACAGTGGAACTTGCTCTACACTATACAGTAAACATTTTTCACACATCGGTTCATATCTTATCAACTAGAAAGATACATATCAGAGTACCAATAAAATAAAAATAAAAAGTACCAATAAACTCGCCCCTCGGGGCAAAATTTACATTTAAAAAATGTATCACAAGAGAACAGACACATGGAAGCCAGAAACCGAGATGTGTGGAAAGTTGTAAACAAATAGTTCTATAGTAAACCATGGGCCAGATTCACGAAAGCACTTACGCAAGCACTTACGAACGTGTACATCTTTCCTCAGTCTTTGACGGCTTTGGTTACATTTATTAAACAGTTTACAAGCATGAAAACTGGCGATCAACTGTTGTTATTGTTATAAACAGCCTCCTGGTGCTTCGGAGCTCATTAACTGTTTAATAATTGGAAACAAAGCCGCCAAAGATTGTGAAAAGATGTACACGTTCGTAAGTGTTTGCGTAAGTGCTTTCGTGAATCTGACCCCATATTACTACAGTTAGCTTGTAAAGGGAATGAATCAACGGGAGAGATAGTCCGGACTGATTTCATTCATAATTCTTTATACGTATGTATGATACATAGCAATATACGATAGGTAAAACTCAATCCTCACGAACACAGGTATATAAGAACAATTACGTACCGTATAAGAACACACAAAATAACA